CTTATAGTTGAAAGCAGCCAGATAGACCAACCTGAAAGATATTGGAGCCGAAAGATCCTGGATCCTGGTGATATTGTTTGATTCCCTGATCAAGCTATGCCTGAAGCCAGACCTGTCCTTGAACCTCCCAGTTACAAGAGTCCATACATTCCTTTTGTACTTTGGCCAGCTTGAGTTGCATTTCCTGAGAGTCCCGATACAAGTTCATAACCTAAGGCAGATCCAAAAGAACTAGCCCTTTGATATTTTCTGTGATGACAACATTTCATGTCCAAAATCTCTCATCAATTCCAAATTCTAAAAGAACACTCCCAAATCCAGAAATGTTCTTATTAGTTTGACACCAAAGCTCAGTTGGTGCCCAAATCTGAACCAAACTGATGAGAGGCTCCTAGAGTCTTGATTCCACTTAGTGTGAATATTCATAAGTTTTGCTACAAAAATATTAATGGATTTAATTTTGTGCGGCTGCCCTAGACCTTGCCAGAGGGTTATGCAATATACAGTATACGCCCCATCTAAACTCTACAAAGTTCTAAACTCTCAGACCCATCTGGTCCTAGGCTTCGGATGCTTGAAGTCCAGTGTCCACTGGGACAGTTACTCTCTGGTGTGTTTGAAGGCATAAGAGCAAGACTTGTGTTTTCCAATAGTTTTATTTTATTTCATCCTGTCATTTTCTTGTAACTTAAACATAAGAGTTTCTAATTTGTCTTGTCCTGAGATGTGCTTGTGACAGAATCCATTCTGAGTCCCCAACCCAATTACGTTTTGCATGGTTTCAGAGACAGCTCATTTAGACCGAGGCCCGTCTGGAGGGTCATTGCTGTGATGTATTTCAGCTTCGTGTACACAGGTTCACCAGCCTCGAGTCGACCTTGGAAATGTTGTGGTATTTTACAGTGTGTGGTGACATTTATGAGCCCATTTGGACACCCCCAAAGAGGTTGATTTCCATAGATTAAATGTCAAGTTTGAAACCGTCCAGGGTAATTGAATCCTCGAGCATTGTCCACTTCGATTCTCAACTGAGGCCGTTGACGGGACGTTTGTGCTCTGTTACGAGCCCACAAGTGTGGCCCCAGCTGCTTAGGTCAGACTGAGTCCAGGGGGATGGGTGGGAGTGGGGAGGACCGTCGCACTGTAATTTGATACCTGCAGAAATGTTGCCTCATTTTTATTTTTTTAAATAAAACACATATGTGGTTAGTTGGTGAATAGATTATCAGAGGCAGAAAAAAACCCACCGAGGTCCCAGAGATGTTGGTTAGTTTATAAACCCTAACCATCTGTGTATTGACAAGAGCAAAAGGGTAAAAAAGAATCTGTACTTTAATGTTTTAAGGAAAAGTAGTTTTAAGGGGCAGTAAACATCTGCATAGAAACTAGGAATAAGCTTCATTGAAATTCAGGGGTAGCAAAAGCATCGAACAGTTTCCGAGAAACGTGAGTGTATTTGTGTTCTCACTGCCCAAAGGATGTGTATCTTCAGACTTTGATCTGAGTCTCCCTTTTTCTCAAAGAAATTTTAAAACTTATAGTCACCATGCGGTACATTACATCCCCGGAATTTATTTATCTTATAACTGGAAGTTTGTACCTTTTGACCCCCTACACCCATTTCTGCCTCCCTATCCCCCGGCTCTGACAACCCCCAATCTGTTCTGTTTCTGAGTTTGGTTTTTTTAGATTCCACATATAAGTGAGATCATACAGTATTTGTCTTTATTTCTCTCATTTATTTCGTTTAGCATAATGCCCTCAAAGTCCATCCACGTTGTCAAAATTGGCAGGATTTCTTTCTTTTTTACAGCTGAATAATATTTCATTATATTTATATATACCACATTTTCTTTATCCGTTCATCTGTTGACGGACTCTTAGGTTGTTTCTGTAACTTGGATGTTGAAAATAACGTGACAGTGAACATGGGGTACAGATATCTCTTTGAGATGGAGATTTTGTTTCCTTTGGATATGCGTGCAGAAGTGGATTTGCTGGATCATATGGTAGTTCTATTTTTAATTTTTTTGGGACCCTCCGTTACTGTTTTCCACAGTGACTGCACCAATTTACAATTCCCACGCAGGGGTTGATCTTGAACTTCTCTTCCCCCAAGGAACTGGAGTTGAGCAGATCTAACGTGGGGGTGGATATGCACGTTTCCTCCATGGTACACAGTGGACATGAGGGGCAGAAGAGCCCTGAAAACCTTTACCACCTGGACTTCTGGTCTTTCTGAAGGTTCAGCTGTTCGTGCAGGGGCGTGGCGCGCTCAGTTGCACCCTGGTCATTTCCGTCGATAGTATCAGCTACCCAGTCTCCCTAAAGTCACGCTGCCGGTCCACATAGACCAGTCAGTTAAAATCAGAATTAAAGTCAGCTCATCAGCAAGGTTCAGAAGAGTCAAACTGGACACGTTCAATTCCTGTCCAGGCTTGAGGTCAAGACAGGTCAAGGGGGCCCACCTTTTTTGCTAGAAGTTTTTGTGGCCCAACTGTTGTGGGCATGTAGGTGACGGAAGATGGCTCTTGGATTCATTTTCTGATCAGGAATTAGAAGAAAAAGCAACACCTGACATTGGAAGATGCCCAGACCACATGTGCGGCAATCAGATGAAAATGCGATCCCGGTGGGGCTGAGAGGAAGACTGGTGCCACACAATCGCTCTTTCTGTCCGCTCTGCTCAACCGTGGTGGCGGCATCTGATCACAATAAGGGACGCGGGTTTCTTCAAGGGTAGATGCCTCGCCTGCAGCAATGACAGAGACGTCAAAACATTCGGATTTGAAAGGGACGGGCTTGGCCGAGCATCCAGTTGTTTAGTCTACATCAGGCTAAACATCTGGGTGATGGGAAACATCTTTGGAGTTGAATGGACCACGTGACCTGTTCTCATGTTGACACGGCCCGGGTCAAGACCAATGAAAGACACATGCTCAGAGGAGGGTGGTTTCTGAGTAGGGGAGGGGAGGAGGTGGCAAAATGTGTTCAATACTGTCCCAGTCTCCTGGCTGCCGTACCAGAGGACCACAAACCAGGCGGCTGAAAGCAACAGAAGTTCATTCTCCCACCGCTCTGGAGTCTGGACGTGCAGAGTCAAGGTGTCAGCAGGGCCATGCTCCATCTGCAACCTGTAGGGTAGAGTCCTTCCGGCTCACCTCTTCCTTGCTTCTGGTGGTTTGCTGGCAATTCTTGGCATTCCTTGGCTTGTAGATACATTGCTCTAATTTCTGCCTCTGTTGTCACATGGCCTTCTCCCTGTGTCTGTGTCTTCATGGCTGTGTCCTCTGCGTCTCTCTCTCTCTCCTCTTCTTATAAGGACGTCAGTCATATTGAATTAAGGGCCCACCCTGCTCCAGTAGGACCTCATCTCAATTTAACTAATTACATCTGCAATGACCTATTTCTGAATCAGGTCACAGTCATAGGTCCTGGAGGTTAGGACTTCAACATATCTTTTATGGGGACACAGTTTAAGCCATAACACCTTGCTCCTCTTTTTCCTCAGAACCTAAAGAGCTGTGATATTTTTCCTTTAAACTTGTGGTCTGTACGTGGCAGGTGGGATATCAGCCATGACGGTGGAGGGATTTCCTGGCCGTGGCCCATGTGGCAGGCGATGAGGGTGGCACCATGCTCAGAGGGAATGACGAGGCTTCCTGAAGGGCTGTTTCTCTTGTGTTCCGGCTCTTCCACGCTGGGAAGCCCATGAGAACCTGAGCTCCCCACTCTGGGTTGAGGAGGGCAGAGAACCAACGAGGTGGCTGGGAGGAGGGCATGTTCCGTGGCTCTGTTCTCAGTAGCTGGCTCTGAAGGTGTCTGCAGCCGGCCCTCTGGAGCAAGAAGGCTGGTCACTGAAACCACGTTCTTTAGCCTTTGGAGAGAACGTCTCTGAACAGGAGAAGCTCTTCTGCCAGAGGCTTCTGGGATTCGGAGACTCTAAGCCCAGAACCTGCAGGGGATGGCCCAGATTCAGTAGGAATTCTGTCCCCTGGTATTTGGTGCCCCCAAAGTTATGGAGTCCCTTTAGAAGTGTGCTAGAGGAGGCCAGTGTTTGGGGTTGGGGGAAGGTTCTAGATGAGGGATTCTTGGATGGGTAAAGCACACCCACCCACACTTGAACAGGAAGGTGAGCAGGAAAGGTTTGGGCGGATGGGCCTTGTAAGTGGATCCCACCTGATAGAAGCCCCCTCAGGCCTCAGTCAAGCAAACACAGGAAGGAACCCATCCCTCGAACAGTGACGCTTGACCAACCCAAGGGAGGAAGGAACGTGTCTCCGTGGAGGGCAGATAACCGAGCCTGGACCCTCCCACCCTGCCCACTCCAGGTCTGAAGAAGGCACCACTCCTCTGCTGCTCAGAAACAGAACACAAACCGGCTTCCATACGCTGCCTATAGACTCTCCGCTCTCCTCCTCTTTGTCCAGCTGGAGGGGCCTGTGGGCAGGCTGGCTTTTCCTTCCGGTGCTCCTGGACCAGCTGGACGCCCCACTCCCCACCCCCCATTTGTAGGACCTGGGGCAAAGCCTCAGGGCTGGGCAGGGACCAGAAATAAAATGTCAACCAAAGGGTTAATGTTAAATGTCCACGGGGGAAGGACAATGGCCTGGTCTGCCAGCTGGGCTGCTGCCTGTGCTGTGAGGGGCTGGCGGGGCAGGAAGGCAGGGACGTTTTCTCTCGGGTGCACGGGAGACCCACCCTCTCCTGGAAATCTATACTCAGTGGCAAATCTTGGGTTCATTTCTGCCTTTAAAGCTGTTGACTTGTTGCAAATATCCTGGGAAAGCAGAGTCAGGGGATCCTCAACGCGCTTTATTCCTCCTCAAAAGCAGGCCCAGGGATACGTGGGTACAGAAACACCGACAATCTCCTTATCGTGAGGGTGGCATTGAAAGCGACATTAAAGGGCCTAGACAAATATTTTATAAATGAAATGACGTTGTTTTTTCAAAGGCTATACCTAGAAATTCCTAAAGTATTGAAAAAAATTCAGAGAATCTATTTTGCCTAATTCATTGCATTAGCCAAGAATGAGTGTGTTATGAGAATATTCCAGAAGGGAGACACTGATGAATTGGAAATGTTCAGGGGCTGTTTTGTATTCTTTGCAACATCCCACAAGCAAACGTGGAGGGGAGCTGTGTCCTCAGGGGGACGCTGGGGTGTTCTTCCTTTCCTGGGCATGGGCACCAGCTGCCCAGCGGTCCAGCCCGCACTGCCCAGGGGCTGGAGCCCCCATCTGGCCTCAGTGTATGCCCTGCTTCGGCCAGCTCAGCTCTCTGGCATACGCCCCTTTGCAGCTTCTGATCTCGTAGTCGTGCTCCAGACACTTGTTCAGGCCCGGCACCCCGGATCTCCAGCCGATGAAGCCCTGGGTCGTCTTCGGCACTGGGGGGGAGGGAAGGACCTGGAACGGAAACGCAGGGGTTTAGTCACCTGGGGCCACATGAGGCGGGTCCATGGAGGCATCAGAGTCGGCCATGAGGCCTGGTGCGGGAAAGACGGAGAAAAAAGAGGCCCTAATTAACGTGCCCTGACAGTGAGCACGCTCCCATCAGCGGGACTCGGAGACTCACGTCTCCCCGTAGGGAAGGACCACAAACACGGTCCCTTATCTCGTAATGCTCAACACTCGGAATTCACCACCTCACTGAAATAATTTTTATTTGGTAAAGGAGCAAAAAGGGGAAAACGACCCTGAGGTGCAGGAACATCAAACACCACCGTTCACACTGCCCTCCATAAAACATGTGACGATGTCGTCAGACGGTACCCTGAGTGATAAATCTTCCGGTTTTGATTAGAAGGCTCGATGATACCTGTGTACACACACACACACATACACACACACACACACACCCCAAACTGTACAGACCACAGGAACAAAAAGAACTAAATTTAATAAAAAACCGAAAAGAAAATGAGATTCTATCCGAAACGAGAAAACACAATTCCATTTGTCAATTTCTTGGACAGACTTGAAATTTTTGGAAAATGAGGGTAAATATTTAGGCAGGTTTCCCCCCTCCATTTGAAACAATCTTCTGTTCTGCTCCTACAGGGCAATATGAACCAAGACGACAGTGAGAAATACTTGTTCTCACAGGAGAACTGAGATAAAGCGGTTTAATATGCTTGGGGTTATGAGGTCACACTTAGCTACGGGGATCTTTGAGCGAGGCGGTGGTAGGAGGGGACGGTCCTGGTGGGCCGGCTGCTGCCACTGGTGGATGAAGCCCCTTCACATATGTTCTCGACGACGTATTAAAATTAATCTCCTAAGAGGCACATGCGGGGAGGGTCATCAATAAACACCAGTGGGGCCAAGGTTTCCCCCAGCCAGCTGCGGATGGAATTGTTCGGAGGGTGAGCAGGTCTCCACAACGCTTGTCCAGGCGGGGACCTCGAGCACACAGACAAGCTTTCAAGTCTCTCTCCAACTTGTAAGAGAAACGCAATCAAAAACCACCCTGGGACGCCACGTTTCACCCACCAGATTGGCAAAGAGATGAAACGCCGCATTAACGAGGGCGTTGTGGGACAGCAGGTTGGTTCATTCAGTGTGAAGGGCGATATGGCAATTATCCATGACAAATGAAAATGGAAACGCCCTTTGACCTGAAATCCACCCCACGCATGTATCCTAAGGCATCCTGATACCTGCATAGGTGCATACCAATGTCGGGGCGGGGGATTCACTGCAGCCTTGTTTGTAAGAGCAAATGACAGACACATTCTGCATGTCCATCCACAGGGGCTCATTCAGTTATGGCCCGTCCGTACCATGAAATACTACACAGCAGTTTAAAAGAACAAGGCAGGTTTGTATGTTCTGAGATGGAACAACTTTGAAGATAAACTGCTAATAGAAAAAAGATGCATAAAAATACGTAAAATATGGTACAATATGTGTAGCAACGAAAAAAGGCTAGAGACCCACATACATGCATGCATATGCAAAGTCTCTCTGTGGAAGGGTCCATGAGAGACTGCGGACAATGGCTCCTGGGGGTTGGGGTAGGGAAGGAGGCTTTTCACAACATGCCTTTGGGGTATAGGACACCTGTTAAAATTAAATGTATTTTTAAAGGCTCTATCCACCCAAAGAGGGCAGGGAGGAGCAGTCAAGGATAACATTCAAGAGCAGGGCTCTGATATCAGACACACTTGCTGTGTGACCTTGGGAAAGGAATTCAGCCTTTGTTAGCTTCAGTTTCCCCATCTGCAAAATGGGTTTGATGATAATAATATCTATCTTCTAAGGTTGTTGTGGAAATAAGATGAGATGATCATCTAAAGCACTCAGCAACTAAGAGAGAATAATAAAAGCTAACATTTATTGGGTGGTATACAGAGGCATAGAAAAACTTCTGAAGGAGCTCCCCAAAATGTTAACTATAGGGAAGAGTATATATATTTATGGATGTTTTAATACTTTATTATTCATATTTTGCTGTATTTCTAAAAAAATTTAACAGTGAATCTATATTGCTGTATAATCAGGGAGGAAACACTCTCAACATATCTCAGTGTAGTGCATTCATTCATTCATTCAGCTAACAGATACGGACCCACTGAGCACTCACCACATGTCAGCCTCCCCATCAGACCCTGAGGACAAGTCAGGAAAAGAAAATCCATGGAGCCTAACTCCCCCACCCCTGGCCGCCGTCGTCCTTTCCTCAGGACACAGAACTGTTTTCCACAGCTGGGCAGAGGGCAGAACCCAGGACCAAGATGACAGACCCAGGAGAGGAGGCCCAGGGGTGCAGAGAGCTCAGCAAATCCAGAGGCATCTGACCCGTGCCTGCAGCTGACTGGTCTCAGGTGGGAACACCACCCAAGTCTTCTCCCCAGGGACTGCCCCGTCACGCACTCAGCAGCCAGAGTGGGCTTTCAAAAAGGCAATTCTCAACGTGTCACAGCCTTGCTTCCCACTGCAGATTGGGCTCAAATCCCAGCTCCTTCCTCTGGCCTCCGAGGTCCAGCGGGATCTGGCTCTGCCCACTTCTCCATCCACATCACTTCTCTTCCCACCCCAGCTCACTAAGCTGCAGCCACACCGCATCCCTCGCTGCTCCTGAAACATACCAACTTCTGTTCTGCCTCAGGGCTTTGGCACGTGTGTTCCCTGGGCCTGAAATGCTTCTCCTAGGGCTGGCTCCTTGTCATCCTTCAGTCCTCAGCGCACCGGGCACCACCCTATCCTCTGTTATCCTCGAGCACGTCACCTGTCTATTTCTCCCACGGCATCTAATACAGCACATAAGGATTTTGTTGATTTTCTTGTTTCATGTTGGTCCCCCACCTGACCCAGATGTGCGGGCTGGAGTCTTGTCTTCTTGTTCATCTGTTTGCCAAGCAAGCACCTGGCACCTACTGATACATAACAGTCGTTAGCAGTTTCTACAAGTGCCGAGTCACGTTCCAGGTCCCTCACAGGCATCATCTCTCACTGCACTATCCCTAACACCACTCCCAGAAGTAGGTGCTTTCATTAACCTCCATCACACAAGGGGGGAAATGGAGACACAGAGAGGTCAAGCCACTTGCCCAAGACCACACAGGAGGTGAGCGGCTGCGCAGTCTGACTCCAGAGCCTGGGCCTCTATCTGCCCTGCTTTACTGCCCACTCCCTTAAATGTTTGAACGAACGGATCGAGCCCCTCATGTTCGTGGCTTCCCTCTGCTTCTGCAGAGACGGACGCAGTGACTCTGGCACGCGTGGGGACGAGTAACACGCTGTGTCTCCCACGCGCGGGCTCGGGAAGGGCGTGGAAACTGGGCTCCTCACGTGCGGGGTGCCCCGAGTTCTTACCTTTGGCAGTTGGCTCTGTGCACCTGGAGCAAACACAGTTTCTGGGGGGGCTTATTTCTTACTTAGGAAAGCAAGTATTTAAAACGACTTTGCGAACCTTGATGTATTTCTCCACTGGTGTCACCGGCCGGATGCGGAACCGCTCGGGAAGCTCGATCCTGGGCTTTGGGGTGGGGGGTTCTTCTTCACCCCGGATCAACTGAAACACAATCCCCAAAGACAGGAGACCACAGGCTGAGACGGGTGGAAGTGTCCTCTTTATCGTCCCCCCAGAAACCGCATGTTACAGCTGGCAAAAGGGGGGCTCAGGAACGTTAGGGAGCTTGTCCCAATCCCACAGTTAGAAAGGGGCAGAGCGGGACTTGTGCACAGCCCAGCTGAGCCCCAAGCTGCAAGGAACTGCCTTGCAGCCTCCTGCTTGTTGCAGCCTGCTAATTTATATTCCCAAGTAGTAATCTGAGAAAACTTTACAGGTTAGGGCCTCAAATTAAACGATGCCAACAAGGCTCCAGGACCAGTCTTTAAAATATTAGAGGAGAGCCCCCATCTTCCTTTAATTTTTTAAAACAATTTTGAACTCTTCAAAGACTCAATTTAATTACATATACAGAATATTAATACTCTATGCATATTATATTAATAAAGACCCACTTGATGCATAAAATTTCAAATTGTATAATTCTCCAAGTATTAAAAAAACTCATTAAGAATGGCATAATTTCAAAGCTACCGGGATGGGGTGAATTACAAATGGGGTTTACGCTGTCTTGAATCATGAACGTTTTGAATGACACGGTTCTTATTCAGTTCTTATTCTGCCCTCCAAAGAAATGTGGCTTCCTCGTGGTGTGTCTTAGAGATAGTCTGAAAGGTTGCAGTCTGGTAGCCACCATCCCACTGAAGCCCACACAAGCATTTCATGCGTCTGTATGATGTTTTATAAATCTGAACCACTATTCTAGACTCAGAAGATTTTATTTAAACTTGTGGATTTCCGGACTCTCTTGAATGACTGGAATATGCAGCTAGTCTCTCTGCATGGTGACACTCAGCAAGCAGGCGGCTGCCTCTGGGCGGGGCCAGTGGTCTCTTTGCTGGCGTCCCCACCCTCCCTATTCATTATGCCTGGCCCTTTTCCTGTTTCTGTTACCTATCTGCTCTAGGAAACACCAAGAGTATCTTCCTAGTGACCCCTCATGTATTCTCTTGGCCTCTCCTTCTCATTCCCTCTGAACCTGACAACCACGCAACAAGGCAAGTGAGGACTATCAGCCCATTTTACAGATGGGAAGTCTGAGGCCAAGTGGCCCAGAACCACACAGACCAGCCTCTCCCCGCAGTGCCTTCTCCTTTATTAGCTGTGTGACTTTGCACTTCTTTGAGCTTAACTTCCTAACTTGTGAAATGGGTGTAAGACAGCACCCTCTCCCCAACCCCTGCACAGGGGATGTTGTGCAGGTTAAGTGACCTGGTTTGGAGGAAGCATCTAGAACGTGCCCGGCACGTCGTCAGCACTCCATAAATCTGTGAATGGAAGCAACCGTCAGGTTTCAGAGTTAGCAGTCTGTATACAATGCACTGTTCAATGTCATTCTTGCAAATTATACACTTCATAACCATTTATTCTTGGAAATGATTGATTCTATAACCTCTGGGCTCATAACATTTATATTTACCTCCTCGAGGGGGGTTGTTAAGAATCCCCACTTCTGGGCCCAGTCTTGCCGCGCCTCGGCTTCAGCTTTCAGGCGGTATTTCCTGGAAAAGCAAGTTCCTAAGTGCTGGACAACATTTGAAATGGGTAAAGCAGCAGACCTACAGGGTCCACTGGGGAAGATGTCAGTGCACCCTGATGGGGTGACGATTCTGTGCCAGGGAGGGAGCGAGGGTCCCCGCCCCAAGGACCTCACTCTACATGAGGGAGACGAGCGTCTAAAGAACCAGCGATGCTGGCGGGCGGTGCCTCGGGGAGCAGACAGGACTGGGGCAGACTCTGCCCGAGAGGCCGTCCAGCGACTAGACTCCTTATCTTGGAGGCCCTGTGCCCACGGGCCTGTGTTGAATCATCGCAGAGGTGCATATTAAGCACATTTGTTCTCAGAGCAAGGACCGGGGCAGAGGGCTGGGGCACCTGGGGTGCAATATTGAAGAAGGCACCATTCCCAGTGCAGAGCCAGCACTTACGTGACCTGGAGATGGAGCCCTCCTTAGATACCGCACCCCAGGGGCCTCACTCGCCCCACCCTAATCCTGGCCCTGTCTTTGCCCCACATTAAATATAATTTACATATGACTACCTCTGAGCTGAGTTGAGCTGCAACTGGAGAGCGGTGTATCACACTTCGCAAAAACCTAATTAAACATTTATTCATTTTGATTTGCAAGTTTCTTTTTCTATTTTGGAGTCAATATCCGCCTCCCTGCCCCCGCACTGCATCTGAGCAGTTTCCGAGGCCCTGGCCAAGCTGTTTGTCCTGGGCACTGAGCTTCTGAAGCAGAGTCTATTTCTAATGGAGATGTAAAGTGAGCCAAAAATATGAGCCACATCTGTAACTTTAAATTTTCTAGTAGCCACATTAAAAAAAAAAGTAAAACTAAACAGGTGAACTTAATTTTAATATCACTTTTTTTTGGTTTGAAATCTGGTATTTTACATTTATAGTTTATCCCAATTTGGAACAGTCACATTCAAGTGCTCAATAGCCACTTTGGACATTGAATAGAATAATCTAAGGCTTAACTGGCTCTGTTCACATAGGAGGGGCCATCTGATTTGGGTCTTGAAGGATGAGTAGGAGTTTGTCTGGTGGAGATGGGAGAAAAGGGCATTCTAGGCAGAGGGAACAGATCCTGCAATGGTAGTATCTCCTATTGGGGATGCTTGGATAAAGACAAAGATTTTTTAAAAAATTAATAGTTGTGTATTTTATGCCAAATACTGGCTTTCCATTTTCAAGAGTGATATAAAGTTTTCTATAAAAATAAATCTATTAAGTGAAACAAAGCCAGTTTAAAGAAAAATATGAAGTGACTATTACAAATTTTACAAGGAAATGGTAACTGTCAGAGAGATGACAAATAAGATAACTGAAACTTAAGAGGTGAGCAATTATGGTTTGCTGTTACTAAAATTTACTTACATCTAAATTAGTAACTTCTCATATGGATTAAAACTTCAAAGAGATGGGATAATATTTACCAATCGGATAGAATGCCAAATAAAAACATCCTTATAAATATCTGCTGAACATAAATCTTTTAGAAAATGGATCTATTCTTTAAATTAAAATTTTATTACTTAAAAAAACCAAGAAAAGCAAGTGAGAATGTAAAATGCACATGTATCTCTCATTCAAATTGAAGAAATATCAAGATTTTTGTTTACTTTTTTAAAAAATTCGGCAAATCTTAAAAATAAGAACAAACACATTAGTTGGCTCTCAACAAGTAAAGCTTTGCAGATGGTTGTAAAGCCAGATGCAAAATCTTTCAGGCCTTCGTGGTGTGCCTAAGACAAGAGGGAGAAAGAAAAGCTGTCCTGTCGCTCTCGCGGCCCTAACCCTGCCCCCTTTCCTCGGGGCCCCTGACCGCCTCCAGCGCACGCTCCTCGCGCCCAGAGGTGGACTACCTCCAGGACTTGGTGGGGAAACTGAGGCCGCCAGGTGTGCACACTTCAGGTGGGAACAGCCCAGCCCACCGGGTTACCGGATCCCCGGCGTTACCAGATCTCGTCCTGGGCCACGAGGTTCATGCGCTCCGCCGCGGCCGTGCTGAGCGGTTTCTGCGCCATGGGGCCGGGTCCGGGTGCGCCCGCCACGCACCCCGCCCTGGGCTCAGCGTCTCGCGTCGCCCGGGAGACCGGTCGGCCAGCAACGCAGGACGCGGAGGCGGAGGCGGCGCCGGCGCTCCACCCGAGGGCACTGGGGCCGCTGGGCTCTCGCCGCATCCGTGCGCCCCTGTGAGCTCTTCGCCCACCTCCCTGCTCGCCCGCACGGCCCCCGGCTGTGGCAGCCCTCCTCTGCGGAAACCCTTGGGGAGACCTCAAGACCTAACTCCCCCGCCCCCCTTTAAAATTTAGACCTGTAGCGCAGGTATAGACACCGACAAGCGTGCCGATCCCAAGTGTGCCAAACTTAACGAATTCGGTCACAGAGAATCCGCGGGATTACCAAATAGGACACTCCCACCCACCCCGCTTGTCGACGTCTCTCGGCAGACATGAGTTTCACCAGTATTTGAACTTGGCGTCAGTGGAACCATCCGGGTGTCCTTTGCGCCTGGCTTCCCTGCCCAGTGTTGCTTGAGAAGTTCGTCCACACTGATGCGAGTAGCTGTACTGTGTACATGTCCATTCCCGAGGAGTATTCCATTCTGCAGACCGCGCTGGGCTTGAGTTTTGGGCCACCACGAAAGTGCTGCTATGAATGTTGCAGCGCGGGGCTTCCGGAGAACATCTGTGCTCCGTGCAGAGAACACGTGCATTTCTGTCAGCATCCACTCTATAACAATCCCCAAATGAAATTCACAGATGATATCGCGCCCCTAGACCCTGCACCCCACACTCTCTCTTTCATGCCCATCAACTCCAATCCCTTATCATTGGGGTGCTCAATCAGTGTATGGTGTTTGTTGACTGACTCATTGACCCCCTAAGGCTTCCACCATACCGTGTTGTCAAAGGCCTGGAACTGAAAGATGGGTCTAAGAGACAACAGTAAGTGGAGTGACTTCGCAGGGCAGGGGAACATTTTCCTGCCAGAGCAGCCCTGGGATACACAGGTGCTCAGAGCCTCCTGGACTAAATGGAGGACTAAGAGGTGGCAGAGGTCAGGCGAAGGGTGCGGAAGGGACTATTTCAGCCGTCTTCAGGAAAGGCCTCTCTGGGGAGGGACATCTGAGCACACATCTGGGGAGAGAGGGACCCACGCAAAGGGACTGAAAGAGTTTTCCACGGAGGAGGGAAGTGCAGGCAAAGACCCTGAGGTGGCGCCAGCCCGGGGTGTCTGAAGAACACCAAGGAGCCGGTGCAGCTGGAGAGTTCCCTGGAAATGGGAAAGCAAGCACGACGCCTTCCAGGAGTGCCGTCGAGTGGGGACACCGATGTGACTGCAGCCAGATGATAATGCAGCCTGATGTATCAAACAGCAGTGGGATGAACGTGATTCCGAGTGAGCCGCAGATGAGGCAGGAAAGTGCAGAGGAGGTGATGAGAGAAACGGGTTTTGAAGGATGGGTAGAGTTGCCAGTCCTGCCTGTTCTCCTCAGAAATATCTGCGTGGGGCACCCTGGGGGACGTCCAGGTCTAGAAACGGGTAGTGTGTTGTGGTTTAGTGCACAGGCTTTGGGATTCCATACGGGCTCAGGTCTTGGCTCTGCTGTGACCATCTCAGTGACCTTGGGTACGTGAGTGAACCTCTCTGAGCCCCAGCTTCCTCGTCTGTGGCATGAGCTTGTAGGGATCCCAGGAGGCTGTGAGGAGCACACCTAAAGGGCTGGGCACGGCGCCTGGAGGGTTCGGCGCTCACGGATAAGGGAGAACATCACCCGAGGAGTAGCACCTTGGCTCAAGCAGGGTCCTCCACCCAGGACACAAAGGTTTGGGGACAGTGTGGGGAGGTGGAAAAGGGGCTTTGAGTGGAACTGGGGTTTGCTTTCTGTGGATGTCAGTTTTTTTTTTTTTTTTTGTGAGGAAGATCAGCCCTGAGCTAACATCCCTTGCCAATCCTCCTCTTTTTGCTGAGGAAGACTGGCCCTGAGCTAGCATCCATGCCCATCTTCCTCCACTTTATATGGGATGCCACCACAGCATGGCCCGACAAGCGGTGCGTCAGTGCGCACCCAGGATCCGGGCCTGCAATCCCCAGGCCGCCAAAGCGGAGCAGGCGCACTGAACCGCTGCGCCACCGGGCCAGGCCCTGGATGTCAGTTTTGAGGAAGAGTCTGGACTGGCCTGAGAGGTGAGAGCTACACTCGCCTGGGGTGCCCCCCAGCCCACCCTGAGGCGCCAGCATTCACCAGGCCCTGGCGGGTGCCACCCTACGTTCTCTAACTCCATGGAGGAGGGGTTCAGCTGTGACCATTTTGTGGAAGGGAGAACTGGCTCGAACGATAAGTGGAAGGAAAAGGATTTGAACCAAAGCCTACAGCCCTCCATCTGACCATAAACTCGGGGCTTCGAGGGCAGCTCTACCTCCCTTCCTTCCTTCCTTCCTTCCTTCCTTCCTGGGGGCGACCCTTACCTGGGGTAAGACGGGGGTCCACATTTCCTGGTCGTCCTCTCTCTCTTGCCCAGCGAGGATGCCCTTTTCTCTCCGGATGATTTCCAAGGGGCTGCGGCTTGGCAGTGGTGTCGAATCTAAGCAGCAGATGAGAGTTGATGAAGGAGCTCGGTTCTGGCTCTTCCGAGGTGATGTCTCTGCACCACGCGGTGTCCCCTCAGAGCGGCGCTTGTGACGAGGTCTCAGGACCCGCTGTGCTTTCAAGTGGCTGAGGCTGATAGAGGACTGAGGTCACGTAGAGACCCCGAGACGCCAGCTCCCCGGACCTCCCTGAAGACTCCTTCCTGACTGATGGGCACGGGACTTGCTTCGACCGACTGTGGACAGAGCCCGGACTCGCTGTCCTGCCAGGGCATGCGCATCAACCCATAATTAGCACAACCCCCGGAACCTTCTATCTGTAGGGCTGCCAGGTTCAGCAAATAAGAAATACAGCAAGTCCAGTTAAATTTGAATTTCACGGAGCATACTTCTACTGCACTACACTCATACCAAGAAGTTATTTGTTGTTTATCTATTAAATTTAGCCAGGCGTCCTGTATCTCGTCTGACCACCCCACCCTCAGTGAATTTCTTCACTGGTGTACGTAATGTGCTCAGCATATTAATACACTCGCATGTATGAAATCTTATTTTAGTTTTTAGTTCTGGTGGTCTGTTTCCTCTTTGTTTTATGTATATCCATCCTTCTTCTCTCCTGGTTCTGGGAGTTGAAACCTCCTCCCTATAATATTTAAAACAAGAAATTCGCAGACCTCTGACACACACAATTTCTTCACCTAATACTTATGCTATTTTTTGAAAAAGTATTATTCATCATGGATTTCAAACAGGAGGAGCAGAGGGAGAGAAAGGGCTGCCATACTTGCTGATCATACATGGGAAACGGAGGAAATATTTACAGCTTGGGGAAGGTTTGCCATGTTCTCGTATATTAATATTTTTGGCCCTCTCTCAGCATTCTGGGACAGTTTATTTTTTATTTTTTTCATCTTGCTGTTGCTTTATAAAACATTTCTACAACTGGAGCCAACTGCTTCCTTTTAGTTTTTAAGCTTAAACAGTTTTCTTTTTTATTTTATGATTTTCTTTTCAAACCAAAGAATGCTTTGTGCAAAGAGCGGTTCCTGCCAGCCGGAGTGCCTTTTTCCCAGCACGGGGGATTATTACCTCCACTGCACAACAAAGGTGTGAAGGCTTGAGCTGAGAGTGCCAATTTGCAGGGAAGGTATTTGATGGCTTAACCGAGCCTCAGCTTAAGGAACTCAGAAGTTCTGGTCTTTACACACCCATTATGTTCTCTTTAGTCACAGCAAAAGAACTCTCCTCTTACTTCACAAATAGTCTACACTCCACACACCTAAAGTAACAATTAACATCATTCTCTGGGTCTTATTGAAGAAGGAAAAAGCCGAATCCCTCCCCCAGCTCCGCAGAAGCCCCCTCCGTGGGCTGGTCCTCCATTTGGCCTAATTATCCATCACTGCTCCCATGAAAGGCCCCATAGCAGGCGGCGGGTGCATTTTGTCCTGCCCCTTCCCCACGCCCCCAGGCCCGGCCGCTCCTCTCCAGCTCCTCTCATGCCAGCTCTTAGGATGTGAGAAAGGTCCCACCCTTCTGTGAAAAGAAAAGTAAGTTTGAATGCAAGAGAACAGAAGCAACTTTGATTTCCAGGTGTGACTAAGGCTCACCAGTCTTGGTAATTTAAGGCAGGAGGTGCCCGGGAACTCATTTCTGGTGGCTGTTAGAATCGAAAGCAGAGGGGTCCGTGGGCTTCCACGATTTGCATCTGCAAGGAAGTCTCCGTGCGTGAGGAGGAGCCTGGTTAGAAATGTGTAGGCTCTGAGAACGGAGGTGTCACCTCTGAGGGTTTAATGTAGCTTTAAGTCACAATGCCTTGAGTAGAAATTTAAGTCCACTAATTATCGATTATTCCATAGATAATTTATTTAGCTGGACTGGCAATGTGAAGGGCTTTACTGCCCAGGGAGGACTGGCTGCCCTGGGTTCTGCGGACAGAGGGTCAGACAGAAGGTTTTGAAGGGTAGCTGGACAACTCGCTAGGAAGGGGAGGAAGAGCTGGTTTGCACCTTCTGGTCCGTGAGAGGACAGCATCCACTCACCCGCTCACCCGGCGGCACTAGGCAGACTTCCCCCATCCTCCACTCGCTGAGGCCTCGGGCAGGACAGCTTTGAACGGCCATTCAGTCATTCAACCAACAAATATTCACTGAGTCTCCTCTATGTGCTGGGCCTTGCGCCAGGCACTGGGGACCCAGTGGGGACAAGACAGGCCTAGTTCTACCTCAGGAAGCTTCCAGTCCAGGAAACAAATAAACCAGGAGATTTTCAGACAGGGACAAGTCTATAAAAACATATACAGGCTGGTGTGGGGTCAGGGAGTTCTCTTAGCAGTGGGGTCAGGGGAGGTGGCATGTAAGCAGGGACCCAGGTGATGAGAGGAGGCCGTTCCTGGAGACAGAGGAGGAGAACACCCAAGGGGGCCGGGGCCCGGCAGGCATTACAGGCTGGGGTGGGGGGTTAGGATTTTATTC